CTAATCTAAAGGGTCTTTTTTTCCCCCTCCTTTCTCTTCCTCCTCCATTCTTTATATATTAGGTATCATATTCTGTACTCTTTATCTGTCCCTTGACTGACTTTGTGGGTGGTTGATTTGATTTTACATCTGCTTAGTAATTAATTGGTCTACTTTCTTTGCTATGGTTTTATTTATTCTAGTGATAGCTATTTAGCCTTAGAAACACCTCCATCTATAACAGTCCCTCTAAAATATACTGTAGAGACCATTTGTGGGAGGTAAATTCTCTCAGCTTTTGTTTATCTGGAAATTGTTTAATCCCTCCTTCAAATTTAAATGATAATCTTGCTGGGTAGAGTATTCTTGATTTGAGGCCCTTCTACTTCATTGCATTAAATATATCATGCCACTCCCTTCTGGCCTGTCAGGTTTCTGTTGAGAAGTCTGATGATAACCTAATGGGTTTTACTTTGTATGTGATCTTTTTTTATCTTCTTTTATTGGTTAGTTGTGGGTTGAATGATCAATCCACTTATTTCCTACATATCCACTCAAACTATCTATTCATCCATCCTTTTATCTATCTATGTACCTACCTATGTTCCTGTCCACTCATCCACCCATCCATCTCTTCTCTTAGATCTTATCACTAATATTTAAAATATGTATTTACTGTCATTTAAGGGGCTTGGGAAGGAAGTAGAAATAAATGTTTATGATTTATTGGATAATGGCCATAAAACTTATCTAAACCAGGACACTTTTCAGAGGAATTATAATTCCATTGGGACAAGAGGCGTACTTGGACTGTCTGAGGCATATGGCTATCCAAATAACTATCAGAAGTTTTTCTATTTAAATTATTGCAATTTCATAATATTTTACTATGTGGTGTGTTTTTTATTTCTTTATTCTTTATTGAACAATGCTAATGATTATTCTAATACTTTTATTTTTCCTAATGAACTTTATTTTAGTATTACCAAATTTGGCTTTTTCTTGGAATTAAGTTATATTTGTAGCAGAAATATTGTTCAGAAAGATGATGTATTACATTTGGTCAGAAATGATACTACTAAGGAACATAATTTATCTCTCCATTTATTTTAGTTTTTAACTGTATTTCAGCATAATTAACATTTTCTTCATATGAGTCCTGCATACATTTTTAACATTTTTCTAAATCCATTTATATTTTGTTGTGCTGATATAAATGGGATGTAATTTTCTTTCTCCCCTGCTTAATTTCTTTACCTGTTTTTGTTGGTATGTAGGAATGCTCTTAATATTTGCTTGTTTATTTCATAATGATTTCAAGCTCTATGTCAGATATTCTTTCTTTCATCTCATGTTATTTGTATAGGAAATGTATTTGTATTTACAGTGGAAGATTGTAGTTTCAAAGATGGGATAGAAGATCTCCTATCCCAAGTATTCTTCTGAATGGGACCTTTCCACTTCTCCACCAATGATACCCTTCCATTGAATTTGGAATTTGGGCTCAACGACTCATTTATAACCAGTGTAATACACTGCGTAGCATCTGAGCCATTCAGCTTCTACACAGTCCTCCTGAAATACTCTACCCCTGGACATTCCCTTTTGGTATGCTCCTCAGTACATGGATGTCATGCTGAGAGGGGGCCAAGTCACACCGAGAGCTAGTGTATGTAGGTGTTCTGGCTTACAGTTATAATTGAGCATTTTAGCCATCCTTCTCCAGGCACCAGCCATGTGAGTAAAGAAGCTTCTAGATGTTTCCAACCCCTTTCATTTTAGTCACCCCCAACCATTCTTCCTAGCTGAGCTCTTAGCCATTGAGCAGAGAGAGGTATCTGCACTGTGCCCTGTCCAAATTCCAAATATAACTGAATCTGTGAGCGCCAAGTTTGGGGTTGTTTGTTACACAGCAATAGGTAAACAGAGCAGTCATAAAACAGCATATAGAATAAGAGTCATAATAGCCTTGCTATTTGTTAGCCTAAAGACCTTTATTATATCAAGTAAGTTTTCTTGGACTCAAGTTTCCTTATCTTTAGAGTGAGGACAGTGTTATCTGCCTTTCCAAAACCACAAAGAATTGATGAGACTCAAGTGAGAAAATTATGTGAAAGCACTTTGTGAAAATGGGTGTGACCATATGAAGCATTCTCCATAAATAGGAAGAGATGCATAAACATAAATGTGAAGACTAATTCTCGTGTCAAGTAGGCTTCATGATCTCCCTGGGCAAAGCTGTCCCAACAGGGTTGCAGGAGATTCCGGCCCCATTGAACTGCATGCTGTATTTCTGAAACATGAAAAGACCTCTTTGTACTTTAATGATAAATGACTGAACTCTCCTCTGAGAAAGACAAGATTTGTGTGGTTCCACTCAGGACTGAAGAAATCCAGATATCTCAGATGTGACCTGTGGTAAAAATAAAACTGCTAACGAATATTTCCCCTTTGTTGAGGTTTTCCTTTATAACTTAAGGTGACCACATTCAAAACAGTCAAAGCCACTTGTTAAAAGAGCTGCTTACTTACTCCAAGGCAAACCAAGGCATCGCCAAAATGGCTTAAATCTCCAGCATGAAGTGCCAGTGTCAATAATCAAGCCAAGTTCACCAGTTTTCATGCAACCCAAGAAAATCAGAGTTAGATCAAGTGTTTGACCTTTAGAAAGACCAGTGAGAAGGATCTCACTGTCAGTATTTCCTTTCTGTTTTCTCGTGAATCTAAGAAAGGAAACTGTTTATACAGAAAGAACAAATATTTGAACTCCCTGACCTTTATGCCTAGGTTGTTCACAAATGCAATTGATGTTCACCCCCCACTTTTTTTGGATGCTATTAATTCCACTATATCTAAAACAATTGAGCATCACTTTCAGTTGTCTAAGAATTTTACAGCCATGAATAGGCAAATGAATAGGATTTAGGCTTTAAGACACTGTGATCTACTGGAAAGGACATTTGCTTTTGAGTAAGACCTTGGTTAAAATCTTTTTACACACATATTGGTATCAGTAACTTTAGCTATGGAAACTTTTTGAGGCTCAGAAATGGGGTAGACAGGGATAATAATATTTGCCTCCTCATGCTACTGTGAGTATTAAATGGCTGCTTATGTTTGAGTGAAACAAAGTCATGTTGACATTTTTCTTACCCCAACTTCTCTGGATCAAGTCCTCTACAAACATTACTGCTGAACATCCCAATTATATCCTTCCTCTTTTTCAATTTCCTCTAGCTATTTCTGGAACTTCCCAGGTATTTCTACACATTCTCATTTGTGGTCTCAGGTTTAGAATAAAACAATACCTCAGCCTTGGCCTTTAGCCCCTCACCCTGGAGGCTTCAGGCTAAACATTAGACATAATTTCCTCTCTCTAATCCTATTTTCCTTCTCCTTCCTGATTTACCTTCCAATTCACATTTATAACTTAACTACCTCTTACTTGTATGCAAACCAAATCATGAAATAGACTTGGGAATCACTAGACCTCACAGTTCCTGGGCACAGCCACACCATGACTTTGGATTTGGGCTTACTGGTAAATCTGACACATAGTTTCTCACATACATTATCTAATTTTACCCTAAGAGAGGCTAAGTGACGTATCTAAGATCCTACAATAAGGACCCAAACTCAGGTGTTGTAACGCCAGAGCTTCATCTATATGCAACAGTTGAATTATGCTCAGGAGCTACATTGCCTGGCCTCAAAGGTGGGACCAGGCCCTTTCTCTCATGATTTTGGGTAAGTTCACTCTGTGGCTTAGCCTGGCAGCTGCCCTCCATGGTGTTGACCTCTAAAGGTCACCTTGGGGAACCCGTGATGACTAGTTACTTAGTAGGAAAAAAAATTACATCTTTACTTTTCACCCTTGGCAAATATGCAAGTGTACTTTTCCTGAGCAAATAATCGTTCTTTGTGTTTAATTTCTATTGTGTATTCGCAGTTTCCGTTTATGGGCAGAGTCATGGCTTAAATTAAGCTGAACTCATAGAATTTCATGTTTAATATCTTCCCTTTCCTTTTACATGTTATTAAAGTGCTGGGATATTTCTTGGGACTACTGGCAGAGAAGCTAAGTAATGCTGTCACTCACACGCACTTACGTACAGAACAATCCAGTGGTGTTTGATACCCCACCAGAGGAGGAGACCAAGTGGCTTTCAGACTCAGGTACAAGTGACGTGTGTTAGTGCTCATTCCCATGAGTGAGATAGGCAGCTGACTCCCATCAGTGCCCCCCAGACTCCCTGGCCCTGGAACTCAGAAAACAGGTTGAAAATCAACACAGCAGTGATGTCCATTCAGGAAACTAATAACTGTACTGGCGTAGTCAAAAGAGATGCCTAGTCAGTTACAGTAATCCTTCAGAGTCCCTTTTATGAGGGAGGTCTGCAGGCCTTCCCAACTCTCAGCCAAATATTTTCTACCCCTTTGTAGGGTCTAGATTATAGACCTCAGAAAAATACCCAAAGCTCTTAGTTCTCTCCTACACTCCTGAGGAGATAGGAGAGTCATAGTTCCATTATTTTGTATAAGAAGAAAGAGGATTCCTGTGAATTGAAATATCCTGTAATTATTAAGTTATAACCAGGACTCTTATTGTTAGGAATGTTTGGTAGGAATGTCTCCTAAAGAATTCCTTCATGCCTTTCCTCATTGTCTTCATTTAGATTTCACTTAATTTTGTATCTTTTTAGGACTTGTGGGCAGGAATTTAAACTGAATTGAAATGTGTTTCAAAAACCATAACCAGCAGACTAACTTGTTAACCCTGAACCAAAGATAGATCAATTCATTAATATTTAGTTAAGACACAGGCTAAATGAAAGGATTTCATTTTTTTCTTTTTGAACTTCCAATGAACAAGTTTGAAATGAGACATCCTTTTTCTTTTTTGATCAAGAACACCAAAATATTCTCAGAAATAAACTACAAAATGCATGGATTTTTAATTCCATGACCTTCAGTCAAAGGTCTTCAGATTGGAATCACTGCTTGCACTGTTAGAGATACATCTTACTACTTGAGATGTTAAAAAGATTAATAAGCTTTTTTAGCCATAGCTCATTTCTTGCCAGTGCTCCCCACCAACCCCCTTTCTTCCCCCCAGTTCAGGAAGTTGATTATCTGAAACTTGGATTGACTTCTACACTCTCCCGGCATTGTATTGACTAGAAGGTGCTTGGGACAGCTAGGAAGCGGTTAACCAGTCAAATCATTGTTCTGGGCACTTCTGCTGTGCTCCTAAAGCTTATAAAGTGTATCAGGTACAGCTCCAGCTTTCTGAAAAAAAGAGAGAGAAAAAAAAAAGGCTAATTTTCAAAAGGTATTTTGAAAAGCTCTCCCTCTCATACTTGCATTATTCAAGATAATTACCATAACACCTGCACTTTGCTTTCTCTGAGGAGGCCTTAATTTTTTGTACTAGGCAAAAATAAACCCTAGGACTATTTTCTTTGCTGAAACTTTCAGAGGAAACAAGACTCTCAATTCAGCCTGACATTTCCATTAGTGTTCAAATGAATGATAGCCAAACAGCATGCATTAGAGCCCTCCCACCTCAACTAAATGTGACAGAAAATTACTCTTGACACTTCACTGGACGATTGTTCTCCACCTCCCATCCCATCTCCATATACCAAAAGCCCCACTGTTGTCACCTATATTGATTTTTAGCTCAATTTGTGCCAGAAATAATAATTTCCATTTAAGATAACAATAGTAACTGACATTCCTGAGGGCTCACTATGTGCCTGCACTATATATGAACTGACCTGTAGCACAGCCCATGAGGGGCATGCCGCTACTCCTTTTCAAACAGGGAGAACGTGGAGGCATGATGTTTTAGTTCCGTGAGTATGTAGGCTCTGTGAGAGCCTGACCTGCTTTGGTCACTGCTGTATTCTCAGCATCTAGAAGAATGCCTGGCACATATAAAGTGCTCAATAAATACTCATGGAATGAATGTGTGAAGTAATGAATACAAGAACAGCCCTAGGGTCATGTAGCCAACTGACACCCAAACGTGGCTGTGACCGGATGCCTGTACCCTTTACTGTCTCAGCACATGGCGTTAGGCAATGTGGCTGTCCTGTGACCTCGCTCAGCTCAGAAGAGGAAAATGTAGCCACTTTTCACTGTCACAGCCTTTGTGATCCTGGCCAAGACAGGACCAAGTTCCTTAGGGCCACTGTTGCTACTTGCTCCGGTTTAATATAAACAGTCTGGTGAATTGAAGAGGTAATGCAGTGTAGTGGAATCAGGTAGAACTCTCAACCTCTCAATGTTGCAGTTCTATCATCTGCAAAATGGAAATTAATGTATTTGCCTCATACAGGTATTTTGAGAATTAATGGAAAAAATGCAGATAAAACACCTATCACTAATGCCTTGTGCACAGCAGGCATTTGGTAATGATTTACTTTTTCTTCTCCTGTTGAATCTGAGGTCCCATGTTCCCATTTTTGGGTAGGCAACAAAATTCTCTGCTGTCTGTCTTATAAGCAAAACGTGGAGGGGAAAAGCCTGGACAAGGACGTTCACCCGAGGGTATGGAGGACGCAAATGGACTCAATTTGTACTGACTGTTCTCCTGCAGGTTAAAATGTTCCCTTGCAGATATTTTAGCACGTGTATAAAATACTCTGAGATAATTTTGGCATTCATGGATATGGAAAAAAAGCCAGACTGACTGAGGGGTTGTGGATGCTGGAAGAGGGCCTAATTAAATAGGTTATGAAATGCTGTAGGGAGTGTGCTGAGGCCCTAGCTGTTTTGAAGTTAAGCAAGGCAGCCTTTTCAGAAGTTTTATTAAGAGAAGGAAGGATTATAATTAAAAATTACAGAAGATTCAACTTTTAGGAAAGCCTAAAAAATTTTTAAAGTCCATTAAAAAAAATGTATACATGAAGCTGAAAATACTGATCCAGAAATATCCCTTACAGAGAAAAAGAGCTTCCTAAATTTAATTGAAATGCCTTTGAACTTTTTCCTTGTATACAATATGGGACCCTGTGTGGGACTGAGGAGGAAGGGAGATCATTTGCAGTGGGTCAGCCTGGGTGGCCTGGCCCTGCGTCTGATGCTCACCTCAGCTGAGCCCTGAGCAGGAGCCCATTGTGGAAATAAGCTTTAATTTTGAAGGTGAAAAGAACAAAGGATGTATGTCAGAGCGCACACGGTAGAGGCCTTCTGCAGGCGGGAGTGCGGGGAGCCCCAGCTCAGGAGCTGCTACCCCTGCTTACTTACTGTGTGACTCTGAGCTTGCAGTGTGTTGTGGTCTAAATTCAGAAGAGAATGCTGCATACCAAACACCACATTGAGCCAGAACTGACAAAAAGGTCCCTAGGTGCGAGAGGAGCTCTCTCCTGTTTTCCAGTTCACTCAGCTATGGTCGCCAAAGGCTGAGCACACGTGCATGATGTCTGCAAATTGGCATGGAGGTTTGAGCAAATGAAAGTAGGTCTTCCATGGAATGTTTTCCCCTTCAGGGGATGGGCAATGAAGCCAGTTTTAGGAATGGGATTTAGGAATGGGAAAGACAAAGTAAATAAGAAGCCCCGTTTGTCTTCTCTCTGCTCCCTGTGGGACTGCTTGAAGTAGTAGTGTGAGGTGGGCTGTAGGCTGTTTGTATCTCATTTCCAAGGCTAAGTTGCATATCATCCTTTTGCCTGCCATCTTCTTTAATTCTTGTCTTTCTCTCTCCCCGACCCATTCCAGCTATTTAGGTTTCCAGTCTTCTTTTTTCTTTCTAATACATACATGTAAGACTTTCCGAGCTTGATAGGTTTAGGGATATTTTTTGGTACCTCTCCCACAGGGTTAAATGCAAGATATCTTTATTTTAGAATAAATTTATGAGAACTTAATTTTAGAATTAATTTATGAAAACTTAAAGTTGGAATGCCTTTGAGATAATTTGATACAGATTGGGGTGTAGCAAAAGAACAGCTGTGCATCCCAGGGTGGCTGGTAGACCCATGGTAGATGGTAGATCCCAAGCAAAATAGAGTAAGTTTGTTTTCAGTTAGTGCCTTGATAGCTCTAGAGAGACTGAAGCATAATTTAGAGGTCACCTGACATGTTTTCTGTGAGGACAATAGCTAAATTATCAACCTAGTACCTTCAGAATATGATTGTCAAGTTGAATAAGAATACCTAAGATAATATTCATGTCTCAGACCTGAGTGTCTAAAATCAGCTTAACATTATTAATGAATAGTGAAAGCATTTAGCATTCTCCTATTATCTAGCACTCCTCTTTTTCTATAACATACTTAGGAACGTGACAATGATGCAAAATCCATAATATAGTCTACACAATATTTCAACATATCTAAAATTAATTCTTTTATTGGCTGAGTAGCTGACTTGGGGATTTTTCTACCCATCCTGTCTTGTTCATTTATTCTACAAGTACATAATGCTATGTTCTGGCATTAGAAACACAGTGGTGAACAGGCAAACATGGTTAGGTCCTTCTGGAGCTTAACTTCTACTTGTTTCCTCAAGTGCCTTATTTCTTACCAACCTCTTAATAACTTCAAAGAAAAGCTCCTCGACTTGGATATCAATACATGCAAACAGCAGTGCTAGTCTCCCAAATATGATGAATCATTATTGAAGACTGAAACAGTGTGGCTTGTAAGAGCATATCTTGAAATCAATAATTTGTTAAGCTTTGTAAGTACCTGAGGGGCATGAATCATTGGATATGATAAGATATACCACAAGTAAAATCCAGATACAATCTTTGAGGAATATATGGCATATATACACATACATTTTCACTTTTTTTCTGTTTTTGAGTTAGCTTTACTTTTAAAATTTTTTATAGAGATATATTTACATATAAAAAGTGGATTGATCTTAAGTTTTCAGTTTAATGTATTTTGATAAATGCACAAGATTATACAATATACACAAAATATATAGAATAATGTCTCTATCACCCTGGAAGTTTTCTTTCCTCCATCTAATCAATTACCTTCTTTCCCTGACCCCAGAGACCATCGTTCTTCCAAACTCTCTCACCACATATTAGATTTGTCTGCTCTTGCTTGCACTTCATACAAATGGAATCAGATAGTATGTACTTTTTGGTTTCTGAGTTTTTTCCACCCCTGTAAATATTATGCTTTTGAGATTCATCCATACGACTGAGTATATCAATAATTGGCATCTTTTAAATTCTGGGTAATATTCAATTGTATAGATATAAGCACGATTTGTATATCCATCCAGTTATTGATGGGCATTTAAGTTGCTTTTAGTTATTATAGTAATGCCTCTTAGACAAGTCTCTTTTTGGACTTTCTTTTTTCATTTCTCTTGGTAAAGAAAGAAAGAAAAACCAGGGAGTATAAAGAAATCAAGAGATAAAATGAAAAATGTTTTCCTATCACACAGGGTTGAAACTTAAAAAAAAAAAAAGAACAGAAAGACCTATACACAGTTTTAGGCAGGGAACAGGGAATGATGAGAAAGACTGTCAGGAAAAAGGCGCAAGAGAGGGAATGGTTAGTGGAGCCAGGCTGACGAAGAAAGAGGAGATAAATCAAGGAAACCAGAGACTGGGTTCGCTTAGGAGAGATACGTGGCACTACTTTACCTGAAAGAGAGGTAGGGAAGGGAGGCACAGAAACATGCTGAGAGAGAAAAGGGAATTTGTAGGATGTCCAGCAAGAGTTGGGCCAGGAGCTTGAAAATCACATATTGCAGTGAAACGTTTGAAAGAGATCGGGAAAAGGACTGCCAATCAGAATCTAACAAGGGCAGCGGTTCATAAGGATACCTGTTGGTTCACTGGCTAGACCATCTGCTCCTTTCAGATATGGAAGAGAAAAGGGGTTAATGCAGAGTTGGGCATTTAAAGGGTAGAAAGCAGTAGAACAATTTGGTGAGGAATATCACATGTTGAAAATACCATTAGTGAAATGGCAGAAAAAGTCTCTCTCTATGCTGAGGAGGGAGAAGTTCAAGGTCAGAGGAAGCCTGATGGCCTGGAAGAATATGGAGCTCCTGTGAGCAAATGTGTTAAATGATGTTAGAATTAGTCTTACTTTGGGCAATGATATGATGTGATATGAAGGCCTATTTCTTTTTTTTTTTTTTGTATAGAATTTTATTTAGGTATGGCTGACAACAGTCTTTTAGACTGCTGTGGACATTCTGCTTTTCACGTGAGGAATCAAAACTCTTATTTTTGGAAACAGAAATTGTTTGGGAGTCTCTATACTGTTTTATTTGTAGGTCCAATAATTTTATAAAAATTTAATCAAATTAATCCAAAAAGTATAAAAAGAATTATATACCACGATCAAGTGAAACTTACTCAGTATGCAAGGCCAGTTCAACATTTGGAAGCCAATGTAATCCATCCCAGCAGCGGGCTAAAAGAGGAAAATCACATGATCATATCAATAGATGCAGAAAAAGTTTTTGACAGAATCCAACACCCATTCATGATAAAATGCTCTCAGTAAACTCAGGATAGAGGGAAACTTACTCAACTTGATTAAGACTACAAAAAATTCCTACAGTTAACATCATACTTAACGGTGAGAAACTCAACAGCTTTGCCACTAAGAACAGGTACAAGTCAAGGATGTCTCTCATCACTCCTCAACATTGTGGTGAAAGTTATAGTAATACAGTAAGACAGGAAAAGGAAATGAGAGGCATACAAGGAAATAAAAGGTTCAGAAGGAAGACATAAAGCTGTCTTTGTAGATGAAATGATTGTCTATGTAGAAAATCTTAAAGAATTTAAAAAAAATTCTTGTAACTAATAAGTGATTATAGCAAGGTTGCAGGATACAAGGTTAATATGCAAAAGTCAATGGCTTTCCTGTATACCAAGAATGAACATGTAGGATTTGAAATTAAAAACAATACCATTTGCATCAGCACCCCCCAAAATTACTTAGATATAAGTCTGACAAAGTATGTATGAGATCTATATGAGGAAAACAACAAACTGATGAAGGAAATCAAAGAAATAAATAAATGGAGAGAGATTGTATGGTCATGGGTAGGAGGATTTCAAAATTGTCAAGATGGCAGTTCTTCCCAACCTGATCTGTAGACTCAATGCAAACCTACTAAAAACTCCAGAAAATTATCTTATGAATGTTAACAAACTGATTCTAAAGTTTATATGGAAAGGCAAAAGACCCAGAATAAGTAACACAATATTGAAGTTGGAAGACTAACACTACCCAACTTCATGACTTACTATAAAGCTACAGTAATAAAGACAGTGTGGTATTGGTGAAATAATAAATGTATCAGTGGAATAAATGGAGAGCCCACAAATAGACTCTTATAATCAAAGGAGCAAAGGTAATATAATGGAGGAAAACAGTCCCTTCAACAAATAATGCTAGGATAAATTGACATCCACAGGCAAAGAAATGAATCTAGAAACAGATCTTATAGCCTTTACAAAAATTAACTCAAAACAGGTCATAGATATAAATATAAAACACAGAACTTTAAGACTTCTAGAAATTAACATAGGAAAAATACTAGATGACCGTGGGTATGATGTCTTAGATACAATGCCAAAGACTCTATCCATTGAAGAAATAATGGATAAGCTGAACTTGATTAAAATCAAAAATTTCTGTTCTGCAGAAGACAATATCAAGAGAATTAAAAGACAAGCCACAGACTTGGAGAATATATCTATAAAAGGTAAATCTGGAAAATGATTATTATCCAAAATATAAAAAGAACTTTTAAAACTCATTAAGAAAACAAATTGATTTAACGAATGAGCCAAAGACTTTAACAGATACCCCACCAAAGAAGATACACAGATGGCAAATAAACAGATGAAAAAATGCAATGAGCTACAACTACGTACCTATTAGAATAGCCCTGATCCCGAATACTTACAGCACCAAATGCTGTGGAGGATGTCGAGCAGCAGGAACTCTCACACATTGCTGGTGGGAATGCAAAATGCTGTAGCTACTTTGGAAGACTGTTTGATGGTTTCTGAGAAAACTTAACATACTCTTAACCCTATGACCCAGCAATCATGTTTCTTAGTATTTACCCAAAGGAATTGAAACTATGTCTACACATAACCTACACATGGATGTTTACAGCAGTTTTATGTATGACTGTCAGAACTTGGAAGCAATCTGAATGTCCTTCAGTTAAGTGAATCAATAAGTAAGCCATGGTATATATATATATATATATATGTATACCCAGACAAGGAATATTATTCAGCACTGAAAGGAAATGATCTATCAAACCATGAAAAGACCTGGAGAGATCTTAAGCACATATTACTAAGTGAAGCAAATCTGAAAACTCATATACTGTATGATTCCAAATATATGACATTCTGGAAAAGGAAACACTGTGGAGACAATAAAAAGATCAGAGGCTTCTAGTTGGGGGGAAGGGTGGGGAGAGATGAAGAGGTAGAGCACAGAGGGTTTTTAGGGCAGCGAAGATATTCTGTATGACATTTTAATGGTGGATACATGTCAGTATGCATATGTCCAAATCTACAGAATGTAGAACATCAAGAATGAACCCTAAAATACACTGCAGACTGGGTGATTATGATGTGTCAATGTAGGTTCATCCTTGGTAAGAAAAATATAAAGTAAGCCACTCTGGTGAATGAAGCTGTTGATGGGAGAAACTATGCATGCATGGGGGCAGCGGTATATGGGACATCTCTGTACCTCCCGAACAATTTTGTTGTATACCTAAAACTGCTCTTAAAAAATCAAGTCTTTAAAAAAGAATGCAATGAAGCGTACCTTCCTGAAAGTGATTCCTTCTTACTCGTCATCTAGTTTCTTTCCTTTTGAGAAATTCTTTCTCACTGGTAATTCTGTTTCATATTTGGTGCTGCTGAGCTTGCATATTAAATTCACTTTCGCTTCACAGCACAGTTCTCTGTGTTTTGCAGGAACTGAAATACTAAAAATAGAGGGAGAAAGAGAGAAGCAAGACATATGGAATCTTCATGGGGCTCTGGGTAAGACAACGTATCTGAAAGTGAGCCCCTACCAGGAAGTTGTGAAAGCTCATTTATAAACTGTCAGTCTCTTTTACATCCCTCATGTGTTCATGTCTTCACTGAAATTTGCTAATAGTCATTGAGCAAATTTCATCATTCACTTGCAGATTCTAATCTTCCCTCAGTCTTGCAATAAATACACTCAATTATTCTGCCAAAACAGTGTCTTGTGAGGATAAATTTAATAAGAAAAGTGAAAGGAGGAAATTGAGCTTGTTCTAGCTTTGGCTAGGTTTGTAGTAGAGCCCTCAATCTGATTTTCCTTTCCTATTAGTGACTATGACAATTCCCTACAAAAATTAGTGATACCTCTGAATCAGTGTTTGACATAACTACAGCCCAATAGATTCCTTGGCTAAATATTCCCATTCCTCAATCGACAGTTATTGTCATACACACTGAACTTTCCATCCCAGCTTCTGTTTGGCTGAGGACAAGTGGCTTATCAGTGTTATCTAATTTTAGAATCCTGCTGGAGTCTAGTATTATATCCCAGCTTCTGTTTGGCTGAGGACAAGTGGCTTATCAGTGTTATCTAATTTTAGAATCCTGCTGGAGTCTAGTATTATTATCTATTATTACCTATCTATTAGCTATTATTATCTTTCTGGAGTCTGTTATTATCCCTCCTACTTCAATTATTCTTTCTTTAGATTGTTTCAGACCAATGAACAAGTCTCCTAATCGCCAGGGAAGGACATGCTCCAGTGACCTGATGCAGGGCTCAGTACAGTGCACTGTTTCAATTTAACAATAGAGAAGGGAAATACAAGGTAGAAAAGTTACTGCCTTCAAAGACAGAGGCATCTAGTTGGGGTGACAAGACACATACGTGTTAAAAAAAAACAGCTAAGACACTAGGTTATTACCTGCCTAACGCAGGCTTTTAAATATGTGCTGTAGGAATTTAGAGCAGGAGAAATCACTTTGGGCTGGAGAACTCAGGAAGAGTTTTGTGAAGGGACGGAGATGGAAGGATGAGCAGGATTCCAGAAGGAAGACAGAAGTGAGGAGGGCCGTCCAGGTGGACAGTGCTGTACAGTGAGGCACAGAGATGAAAAGACATGTGACTACTCAGGGAATGATGGTTAGAGCAGAGCAGGTAGCAAGGTTTGAGCTCAGAAATGTGCAATGAGCTTGGAAATCTAGGATGGAATAAACAGTGGTGCATCTCAAGTATTAACAGTCTGAGGAATTTGGACTTTTGTTGTGTGTGGGATGTAGGAAGCTATATTTAAGCAGGAGAGAAACATGATAAATTTAAACCCACTTTTTATATGATTCTCGGTAGGCAAAAAATTGCTATTACCTTTTGTCTTCCATGTACTAAAATTTTAATTTCCCAGATTCTAATTAGTAAATTATGTCCATATCTTTCTGGAATTAGACACATCTATTAACCAGCTCCCATTCTTTTAAGAATACATTGACCATAATTTAGAGCCTTAAGAAGATACTGTGGTCTTGTTTTGCTGCTGGAGATATTCGGGTAAGAACATCTGATTCAACTGTCAGTTATTTAAGTTGACTTAACAAGTCAGTGGCTGTAAGGCATGAACTTCAGGATCTTATTGTGTGGGATTTAGTTTTCCAGCTTTTCCTTTAGAAAAACTTTTGTTAGATTTGGTGAACTCTTTCCTAAAAAGGAGCAGGTCAGTTTTCTTTCGGTGCTGTAAAATGCCTCCCAAATGATGATGCTACTAAACTTCGATGTTATCACTGAAAAGTGCTGGTGTTTTCAGAAGAAGGGCATTGTCTGATGATGGTTGTTCCTGGGAAGGGGCACAGGAAAGCAACTGCATGTGCTCTTTTGGACCTTTGTTGTTTTTCCTAGTGATTCAATACTGGGAGTTGCAGATATAATCAACCTCTTCGTCTCAGCTAGAGAAAGCGTCTCTTTTATTTTGACTAGTCCCCTACGAACCAGATCACTGCATCCTGGTTCATGGATTCACAAAGCCCTATTTTCATTCTAAATGGAGGCTGATCTCTGTTGAGTTTTGTTGATGACCACTAAATAGAAGTCTGTTGTTGGCTGGGCCAGGAAGGCAGCACGGTGAAGTGGAAGCCTCTAAGTCTCAAAATGGGGCACTCTCTCAGCCCAAGCACTGCCCTTTGCTTCTGCATCTCCTAGTTTTTCCTGGCTGTAGGTCCCTGAAAAATGTTAATCCGTCTCTGTTTGATAGTGAGGTTGCGATCTGTCTCTGTAATCTTGTTGGATTGAATCTTGGGGATTTAAAATACTGTTCTAGGGCCAAGGCAGAATATTTGAATAGATCGGTCTTTTGGTGCAGGGAAAATTGTATCATGCAAGCAGACACCTTTTCAACTCATATAATTGATCTGTCTTTAGAATTTTAGAACTAAGATTTTGCAGGTCATTCGTTCTAGTTACCCCATTTTACAAATAAAGAAATTAAAGGTCAGAGATAGTAATGAATACAGTGACCAACCATCCTGATTTCCCCAGGGCTGCAGCTTTTCTGGGCTACAGTGCTTTTAGTGATAAAACTGAGAAAGTCTGAGGCAAAGGGGGATAAGTTGGTAATCCCAGCAAACCAATTAACTAACTCAAAGTTTCACAGCAGTTATTAATACATGGCAGACTAAAACCCATGCTTTCTGACTTCCAGCATAAGGTTTCTCATGATAGCCTCATGCAATAAAAATATTTCCTTATTCATGAGCAACATGAATTAAACATTAAGCTTCTAAAGTACTGTAATGATCAGTTTCACCTTATGTTCTAGGATGTTTATGAAAATCTCTTCCCACTTCTGATTTGGGCCGTCTTATGCCTAAAAGCTCAGTATTAGTACATAAAATTTTAAACTAATTTAAATTTAGTAAGGATAGTGGGCTATTTCTGTCTTTATTGGATGGAGAAAAAAAATCAATGAACTGTATTGAGGGTAGCCACAGAAAGCATTTGTTCTGGAAATTCACTTAGTGCCAAGTTACAGGATCTAAAATACATGAGGCTTGGATAAAAGGCATAGGCAATGGATAGGAGTTCTATGGTGATTACAATTTTTCGAGCTCACATTCTTGTGGGTGAAGCTAGAAAGCAGTGAAGTCAATTGGTGCATGTAGCTTTCAGATCACCTCATTACTTTAGAGCCACAACTCCTGCAGCTCCTTGTGTTTCCTTGTGATAAGGGTGAAATGCTTAAAACACCAGGCTGATAAAACTTGCTGAAACCATGTGCAGACAGATCTCTTACACAGTCCTTAAATATTGGTGATCCGTTGGATGCTCCTATTCACTATTTTTTTCTCATGCTACCTGCTGACTGGGGGTAAACTCATCCTCACCCATGGCTCAGCTACTATTTATAACAGGGTGAGCCGATGCACTGCACACCTGCCACCGTACCTCTTGCCTATGCCCACGGCACACATCGCTGATTTTCCTTGTATTTATTGCTGCTCAATCTTCTCCTCTCACAGTCCTTCCAAACCCATGTCTTCAATTTGATATTACACTGATCATCGTTAGCACTAAATTTATTCTTGGGCCAACAATTAATCAGTCTTGGACCCAGATTAAAGCCAAATTTATTTATCTAATCCAGACCTCCTCCAAAATGACTGACATCTCAACCTGGATGACTTAAGGATACCTCAATTTCAACATGTCCAAACATGAAATACCCATTTTTACCCACAAGCCTGCTTCTCCTCTGTCTTCCTTACACCTACTATCCAATTAGTCACCAGAGACTGTACTTAATTCATTCTTGAATCCTTCTTGGCTTCCTTCTGCTACCTTCTATTCTTACTGCCACTCCTTGATTGGGGTTCTTGCAAAGCCTGCTTGCTGGTATCTCTGGCTTCATTCTCTTATCTTCTCTTCACATTATTATAGGAGGGATTTCCCTCAAAACCACAAATCTATGTCATTCCTCTCCTCACAAATCCCTACATTGCCCTTCAGAATATATTTCAAACCTCTTAGCTCAGCTTATAAAGTCCTTGTCATTTGTGTTTATCTTTCCAGAGATGCTGTTTTTCTTGTTTTTATATTGCTGAGGGTTTCAGAAATTTCTCTTTCAAAAAGACAACATTGATTTGTTTTATTAATCAGATATTTATTTACTAATTTTTTTGGTTTTGTATTTTATGAATTATCTTTTATTTCTAATTTCTTTTTATTTTTTCCTTTATTAAGTTTCTTAATTTAATACTTAGATAATTTAATTCAATTTTAATGTTCTCATGAATGCTTTTAAGGTTTGGGATTTTCTTCTGCATGTTCCCTTGGCTACATCCTACAGGTTGTGTTTTCCTTGTTATTCAGCTTTAACTCATTTATATTTTTGGCTTTTACTTTTGATTTTGCTCAGTATTTATTATAGAAAGATGCTTAATAATTTTCAAGTGAATGGGTTAGGGTTAATTTTTCTTTTTTTCTGGTTAATTTCTTATGCATTAGAGTCAGAAAAATAGAGCAGAAATAAATTCTCTATTTTGGAATTTATTGAGTTTTTATGTATGTGTATGTGTGTGTCAGTTAATACATGGTCAACTTTTATAAATATTCTATGGAGCTTAAAAAATGTATATTCTCTTACTGTTAAGTATACTGTTCTCTACACAGGTATTAAATGAAACATATTCATTGTGACATTCAGATGTTTTCCAGTGGTACCTTCTTTCCTGAATAAGGATGCAAGTGCATGCTCTTCAAAATATACCTAGCTATATCTTTTAGTAAGAACTGGGCTGGGTATAGAAATCTAGATTAAGAATGGCTTTTAGAATTGTAATGATGTTGTTCCTTTGTTTTCTAGCAGCCCTATTTGCATATAAGAAGTTCAGT